TGTCCCCAGGCCAGCGGCTGCAGAGTCCCCGCTGGGCCCCGCGGGCCCCTTTGCCCCGGTGTCCATCGAGGCCCCTCTGCGTGGTGAAACCGGCGTGGTGACCCCAAAGCTCTGCCCGGGGATGGACAGCTGGGGCTTTTTCCCTTCCTGCCAACCCTGGAATGAGCCTTGAACCAGGGCGGCACAGGGAGAGCGGGGCAGGAGGCCGGGGTGGCTCTGCGGGAGCTCCGTGCCGGGGTTGGGCTCCCTGCTGGGATCCGGAACTGCTCCCTCCCGACCCCGCTGGCTCTGGGAGCCAGACAGGAGCGGGATTTGTGCTGGGGGCACTGACACTGCCGGGCAACAGGCAGCGCTGCCCCGCGGGCACGGACGGGCCGCGCCGGAGGGCACGGGGAGCTGAGACCGTAGGTGTTTGCACTGCTACATCCACAGGCTCTGCCCCTGCGCAACGGTTCTCTATCCAAGAAATCCCTCTGCCGGCAATGAGGGTCTCCAGAGCTCCCGTCAACCCTCCAGGGTTTGGGAATACACTGGATGTTTTTATTTAGCAATGTGAAATTCCATTTAGCAACATGAAATCGTAGTTCCAGCCCATTGCAAGGGTTGGGTCTGTCCGGGGGGCAGGAGCGATCGCAAACGAGTCAGACTGTCAAACCGTGGAGCCCGGGATGGGCAATGAAAGCAAGGCCACGAATTTCGCTGTCTCCTTCCCGTCCGTCGCGGGCTGAGTCACGGCTGCTGCAGTCGCCGGGCCCGTTCGCAGTCTCCTGTGAAGCAGAGGAGCTCCCCGCTGCTCCGGCCACGCGCCCCGTGTCCCGGTGCTGCTCTGGGGCCTCCCGGGCAGTGCGAAGTCACAGGGAAGGCTGCACGAGCCAAGGGTGGTGAGAAAACGGGGCCGGGAATGCCCTATGGAGGAGCCCTGAGCACCTGGGCGCGAGGCCAGGGCCGCCGTCCTCTGCGTTCTCCCATGGAGACGGAATCGCTCAGGGTAAAGGGTGCCTCGTTGCACAACAGCCCGATTAGGGGGTTGCGATTCCTGGCAGTGTCTGTTACCTATTGTTTTCCATTGAACCTTCAAAACAGGGAAATGCCGGAGCGATGAGGAGTGGTGGGGAGCGGAGGTGGGAGCGGGGCCCGTTTCCTGTGGGCTCCCCTCTGCCCCGGTGCTCCTGTCGCGCTGACACAACGACTGCTCATGGGGACCCAGGGGCTGTTTTGTAGCACCGTGTTTTCCATCCAGGAGCGGCTCCCTGGCAGCTAAACCTCCTCTGATCAGCCAGGAGAGCCCTTGGCCACGCAGTGCAAATCCACGCAGCCCCAGCGCGTGGCGATGGGCCAAGCCTCGCTGTTCCCGCCTGCCTCAGCACCGAGCAGGGACGTGCTCGAGGCTGCTCTTGAACAACCCACTTGAACATGGAGTTCTGGAGATCCTGGGCTTGATTTTGGGAATGAGCTCTTGGAGAGCTCATCACTCGGAGATTTAGCTTGGTCCTCGCCGCTGTGCCAGCGCAGTGGTGCCCATGTGCCCTTCCTTGGTATCTCCTGGGTTTAAGCTCCTGGGAATCAGGTCTTGCTGGAGACAGGTCCTGCAAGCTCCACGGCTTGGCCGGGCCCTGGTGGAAGCCGAACGGGGTGAGGAAACGAGCTCAGTCCTTCTGGCCCAGTCTCTGGAGGCAGTGAGGCTCCGGTGGCCGCGCTGGGGCCTCGCTTCCCCTGGAACCTCAACCTTGGCAGCTCTTAGCCGAGTCCAAGGACACGACCGAAGAGCAGGAGTGCCAGAGAGGGACACGGTTCCCTGCTCGGACACAGGCTGTCGCTGGAGCTCAACCCTTTGTAGACACTGGAGCCTGCACTTGGTTAGCGCTCCTGAGAGCGCAGGGAAAGGCGAGGGTGCCGCGTGCCGGGCTGGTAGCGGCCCCTCCTGTGAGCCTCTGCACTAACCTGGTTTAAGAAGCCCCAGGTGAAGCCTGGCCTCAGCTCGGGGCACTGGATACAGAGTGTTGGGGGATAGCCAAGCCCTCAGCCCCTGCTTTCTCTACTTGGCTGGGAATAATTGGGAGGCTCCGAAACGTGCCTGGAAGCACTCTCAGCATTTTATTAAGCAGCTCGTGAGAGCTCTTCCTTTGCATGTCCGCATTCATAGGTACTTTGACCCGAACAAGCCGAAGTGCTGTAAGCAGCTGAGATCCATGTGCACCCTGCAGGGCCGGGGACCTGCTCGCTCCCCCTTACCTGCTCTCCCGCAGCAGCCTCGGCTGCGCTTGGAATGGAAGAATCCCAGGCTGAGGCAGGAGCCTTGTAGCCTTCGGCCACACCTCTGCTATGGGAAGAAATATCTCAAGAGCAAGGCCACGTTCCTTGGAGGTGGCAGCTCCCGCTGGAAGGCCCTTCTTGTCCTACAAAGCAGGGGACACGGCTGAGGAGAGCGGGCCCTCAGCGCGGCGGTGGCCGTGGTGCAGGTTGATGTTGAGCCCGGCACTGATCCTGCCTGTCCAAGGAGGATGGTGCCCAGGTGCCCCTCGGTCCCCATGGTTGGGCACCCCTGGGTGCTGGGGGAGCAGCCCTGGGGGTGTCTCCAGGCGCCCTTCTGGGGCCCTGTCTGCTTTTCTGCTGCGTCCTGACGTGCCACTTCCTCCCGCAGGCCCCAGCGCGCTGGCCCGGTGCTATGCGATGCTCCACGAGGCGCTTCCTCACAGCTGCCTTTGCAGCCTCCTTCCTCTTCTTCCTCTTCCTCCTCCTGAGCAGCCGCTGGGAGCAGAGCCTGGAGGATCCCCTGGAGGTGAGTCCCTGCCCCGGTGCTGTCCTGCTTGGGGGCATCCATGTCCCCAGCCCCGCGCAGAGACCTGCCCCAGACCCGCTGTCTCCCCTGTCCCACGTCGTCCCCGAGCCCCAGCTCTCCCCTGGGGTTGCCTGGAGCCAGGAGGGCAGGACGGGGCTTCCCCTGCGCCCCCTGGTCCCTCCTCGCCCCACGGGGATGTCACATCTGGTGGGTCCTGGGGTCTGACGTGGTGTTGGTGGCTTCTGTGCAGGTGGCGCTCAGGGCGCTGGCGCCAGAGGCAGCTGTGCAGGCGCTGCAGCAAGATGGGGCCCTGCGGGCGCTGGACAACCTCTCTGCGCCTCACAACGTCTCCCACCACCTCCTTGCCGGCTCCCTGCCATCCAGCAAGAGTGAGTGGCTCCGGGGCCCTGGGTTCATCTGTCCTGTTGTGGCTGCAAGTCCCAGTGAGGAGCTGCTGCTGTCGCTGGGCTGCGGAGGGGTCTTCTGCTGACATTTTAGGTTTTTTTCCTCTGCAGAGGAACCCCTGGCCTCTTGCAATGCCCTGTCACCAGTTTTGGCCCATTCTTGGGCATTTTCCGAGATGCCGGTGGCTTTGGTCTCAGTAGGGACCTGCCCGGCGTGGCTGTGTGCCCACAAGTGGCATTAACTGTGCAGGATGGCCATGCAGAGAGCTTTCCGGCGCTCCCCCAAACCGCCTCCCTGGTGCTTTGCAGGGCAGCTTCACCCTGCCGCGCAGCAGGTCACCCCTCCGCTCGCTAACCCCGTCTCTTCGCCCCGCAGAGTTCCTGGCCGTGGGGCTGGCGTCAGTGCGGCGGCCACGTGGCTACTACCTCCAGGCCACGCTGCAGTCTGTGTTCGAGCAGTCGACGGAGGAGGAGCTGCAGGAGATGGTGGTGGTGGTGCACCTGGCCGACACGGACCCGGGCTGGAACGCGCGGGTGGCTGCTGACGTTGCCCGCAAGTTTGCTCAGCGCCTGCTCCAGGGCCAGCTCCTGCTTATCCATGCTCCCCCCGAGTTTTACCCGCCTCTGGATGGCCTGAAGAGGAACTACAACGACCCGGAGGAGCGGGTGAGGTTCAGGTCCAAGCAGAACGTGGATTATGCCTTCCTCTTTGCCTTTGCTGCCAACCTCTCCACCTACTACCTGATGATCGAGGATGACGTGAAGTGCTCCAAGTCCTTCCTCACAGCCATCCGCAAGGCACTGACCTCCTGGGAAGGCTCCAACTGGGCCACCCTGGAATTCTCCAAGCTGGGCTACATTGGGAAGCTCTACCGCTCCAGCGAGCTTCCTCGCCTGGCTCGCTTCCTCCTCCTCTTCTACCAGGAGATGCCGTGCGACTGGCTGCTGGGCTACTTTCGCCTCCTGCTCACGCAGAAGGACGTCATCCGCTTCAAGCCCTCCCTTTTCCAGCACATGGGCTTATACTCCTCCTTCCAGGGCACCGTCAACCGGCTGGAGGACGATGACTTTGAGGCCGATGCCCTGGAGCTGCCGGACAACCCCCCGGCGGCTCTGTTCACCGACATCACAGTCTTTGAGAACTACGCGCCCGCCAAGGCCTACGGCAGAGCAGAGGGCTATTTCTGGGGGAAGGACCCTGCGGACGGCAAGGTTTTCTGCGTGGTCTTTCAGCAGCCGGCCCGCGTCACCCGCGTGCGCGTGCGCACGGGCTCCGGCGAGCGCGGGCAGGACTTCTTGCGCGCGGGGGTGCTGGAGCTGGGCTGGCAACGGCGGCCCCGGGGCCGGGACTGCTCCCGCTACACCCCCGTGGGCGTCTTCAACAAGGGGCTCTTTGAGCGGCGGGGGCTGGAGAAGGAGGTGCCGCATCCCGTCGAGTGCGTGAGGATACGGGTGACCCAGGGCCAGAGCGAGTGGCTCATCATCCAGAGCATCGACATCTGGACAGCATCGAGCACCTGACCGGGCAGGTGACAGGCACTGGAGTCTTTGGGAGGATTTTGCACTACTTTAAGAGGAGCTGTATTTTTTTTAGTCCCTTTTCTGATGGAGAATTAAATTATTCAGTCCTGCTGCTGCTTCCTGTCTCCGGAGAGATCCCAGGAGCAGGGGATGCGCCACAGGGTGGTGGAGGGGGTGGGAGAAGAGCCCACCCTGCTAGGCCTGGGGGCTCCTCCAGCAAGAGGCCCCAGCCCATCAGGACAGGGAGAGGGGCCTGTGTGTCCCCAGTGTGGGTTGTCCACCCTGGATCCCTCTACATGGGTCCTGCAGACACCCTCCAAGGCCCCTCTTTTGGCCCCAGGGTGCTGCAGAGCTGAGCTCCTCCCAACCCCTGACAGCCTCTGTGCGGGCTCCTGAGCTCCCTCAACCCGCTTCGAGTTCTGGAAAGCTGAGGGCACAGAGGGGTGGGCGGGCTGCAGCACGGGCAGCCGGACGCCTGGGCCCTTGGGGGGTTTGGGGAGAAGTGATGAACCAGGCAGCAGTGTGTTCTACAACACCTCATCCCATCCCACCCGCACGTGAATTTTCTAACCCAACTTGTGATTTTCTTCTTTCCACTAGACGGCAGCACAGAAAGCAGCAGCTCAGGGCTGGGGACTCCAACCCTGGCACCACAGGGCATCTGCCCCCCCAAAAAAACCAGCCATATAATGAATCTGTCTGCATTTAATACAGAGGTGCTATGGGATAAACTCAGCACCTTCCTTACATTATAAATATTATCAGTGGGCTCAATATATACACAGAAACACTGCAGAATCGCTTCATTTTCCTTCACACAGCCAAAGTACAGTCAGAGCACTCCGATTTCTTTGTATTTTTTAAAAGCACAAGCGTTGCCTTTGCAGGGCCCTGACACCCAGTTAGCAAGTGCATCCGATACTCCAGTAAAGCCACTGACCCATTTCTCTTTGACACAAATGCCACTGAACCCATTGCGACAGTGTCAGGGGCATTACGGTGGGTACAAATGAAATGCTTTCTCCCCCATGTGTTATTTATCCACTGACAAGCTAGAAGAAACTGAAATCTAAAATGTAAATCACTCTGTTTACCTGTTGGTCTCTTACCTGTGAATGTACTAATAGTTTTGTGACATCCACCCTGCATAGAACCAGGCTGCTATCTCAGTTACGCTGGTATAAATCTGGAGAAGCTCCGCTGAAAACAGCAGAAATCCCCTAGATTTACCCCAGAGAAAGGACAAGGGATCACTGGCAGCTCTCCCTGCCTCTTCCCTCCGGTGCCGCAGACTCATCTCAGCAGACAAGTGCTGAACTCACATCAGTGCCAGCTGGAGAAGGAGGCCTCCTCATCCCAGAGCAGCATCTTTTAGAGAAGGCATCTGTGGAAAGGGTGAATGGCGGCAATCACTGACTTCCAGGGAGCAGCATCGTGCACTTACACCAGAAGGTCCTGTAGTTTGTGGTCAGGTGTAGGTCTTAGAACTGCATAGCAAGAAGAACAGCCTGACCCAAAGCACATCCACCTCTTAGTGTTGGACCTGGGCAAATCCTAACTTTGTTCCCTCATTCCTATTTTTCCTTTTTTTGCTCCCTCAACAGGACTGTACAGGTGCAGCTCCTCCAAATGCTTTCTCTGAGACCACAGAAGTGCCACACACTAGCAGAGGGCTCCAGGCTTCAGCAGCCTGTCATGGGACAGCACCGTAGCAGAGGGTAGCTGAGACAAAGCTCACAGTAAAATTAATTTTATCCCACTGAAGCCTGCAGTGGACTTGGTCAACATAGAGTGCATCATACCAAGACCCCTCCTCTAGCAGGGGAAGAGGGGAGGGGATGATGGAGACGTCAGTCCCAGCAAGCAGCGCCCGTGGGGTCAGGCCGAGCACAGAGCACTGGAGCTGCAGTCCCCGCACACGACGGCTCCTTTACCAGGGCAGCAGCTCTGCAAACAACCATTTACATGCAGGAATGGAGCCAACGGTCAGTGCAGATCTCAGTGAACAAACGTTAAGGAGCCTCTGTGCAGAGATGTAAAAGACAGGGGGACAAAACCAGAAGCGCTTTGGCCTGCCCCTCTGGCTGTAGTATCTGAGAGGGTTTGAGCTTTCAATCCAACACCACGGACGTCCTGAAGGATGCCCCACTGCCCACCTCTACCAACTGAGCTACGCTGTCTCTTGGGAAGTGGTGCTACGCAGCTGCTCGTCTAGCTCAGCATCTTGTGGCGGTCGAAAACGGTCTTTCTCTGCTCCTGCACCTGGCGCTTCCAGCGCTGCTGGGCTCCCTCCACCCTCTCCAGCACCGTGTTGGCTCTGGCACCAGATGGAGTGGGGACTGTGGCCAAGGAGCGAGCATCCTGCAATGCAAAAAAAAAACGGGATGAAAAAGGGCCAAAGGAAGGCATGCCCACTGCAAATGCAGATGACTCATTTCTGTGAGGAACTTCTACAAAAGGAGTAATTCTGGGCTCATGGTAACCTGAAAAAGAACCTGCTTTTTAGAGGTCCTTGACACCAGCTTCCCAATTCTGACTAAAAAGGCTCCTCTTTGGAACATGCACAGCAAAACCACAGTCTCCAAAGGGATAACTTCCCATAAGAGGAACTGCTCCAAGCTATCACACTTTTAGAACACAATTCATCTCATCCTGCAGGACCTCCTTTCCATCAGCAGAGGGAGGTAATGGGTAAGATATGCACTTTAGAGCAGCTACTGCTCACTCGTGTCAACCAAATCTTTCATTAGGGGAAAGGCACTGCCTTCCTCATTGACACAGCCCTTCAGCAATATGTCAGTAGGTCAGAGCTGGCATCGCAACCTTGGCAAAGGTGCCACCATGAAGGTGATCTCGGTTAATTGATATCTAGCTATTTTTTCATTGGGTTTATTTTTGGAAGCAGAATAAGGATGTTGTGAACAGCCACAGTTATAAGAAAAGCCCTGCCGACTCCAACCTGCTGTCCTGCCTCAGTGAAGGGATGTGAGTCAAGGACAACCTTGTTTCAGGTTAGTAAAAGGCAGTCACAGAATCACAGAACGGTTGAGGTTGGAAGGGACCTCTAGGGATCCTTCCTCATATGGAGGTGGAACTTCCTATGTTTCAACTTGCACCCGTTAGCCCTTGTCCAGAGGGAACATCGCTCTTGTGACAGGGCACAAAAGAGGATCTTTGCATCCTCTCCTTGGTACCTTGACTTCTCCCACAGAAAGAAACTCTGTTAACCCAGACCAAGTCCCAAGAGGCAGTGAGGTGATGTCCCCAAAAGAGATGGGATCTGAATACAATTCTGCTCTTGGGGAAAGCACAAGGAACAAGGTGGCCTCCATACAGCAGGGTCCAATCCCAAGGCAGGTTCCAACAGCAGCAGCGACTGCTCCAAGTCTGCTCTTTTCAGCAGCTCGAACAGAGGCCAGATCCGTGCTTCAGCAAACGCTTTAACTCATCTTTCCCTGGAATCTCACCACCAAGTGACAATGCACTATCCAATAGGAGCCATTTGACTTTTGGTTTCATTCACACTGCGAACACCAATTGAGGCCACTCTAAGAAATGCACCCTCTTCCCCAACCCTGCTAGAGGCTCAGAGAACAGGTGTCATCTTGTGCTCTTTGAATTCTACCTTATGTTACAGCATGTTCTAGCACTGATCTGAGTCTAAATGTTTACCTGTGCCAAGTGTCCAAAAAGCAAAAGTGCCCATCCCACACTGGACTAGGGGACAAGCAGGAGGACACTGTTCCTGTGCCAGCCATGCCCTTGTGACCCTGCTGTCACCTCACCCTGACTGCAGCCACCCATCTCAGGCCACGCACCCCAGCAGCACATGCTCACCTCATTCTCCTCCTCATTGTGCAGGGGCTGGGTATAAGCATCTGGCTTCCTGATCAGAGGGTCCACGAGCACAAGGAAAGCCATGTAAAGCAGCAGTGCCCCCACCACAGACAAGTAAATGATGATGATCACCTGCGTTTAAGGACAGCATGGTAGCAAAGGATTCAGATGTACAGACAAGAAGCAGCACAGAGGCCCCAGAACTACCATGCAGCTCCTCTCACAGCTGCCTCTGGTGCTTGGTTCCTGTTCTAACTCTGCTCATCAGAAAGTCTCCTGTCACTTTGTGCAGGAAGGCTGAGGAAACGTGCCATCACTGAACAAACCAGGCTCAACTTTGCTGCACTCTGCCAACTTAGCACATGTGTTGCCAGTGAAACAAGACCAATGAGAGGGGTCCCCAGTCAGAGGTATCTGGCACTGCCACCCACCCTCTGCAAGGAGCCTGGGCTCCCACGCAGCAGGCTCTGCACTGCAAGCAGTCCTCTTGACTCGCCGGTGGTACCGCTGGCACTAACGCTGTGCGCTACTCGCACTAGTTCTATTTTTCCTTTCTGGGCTCTTCTCCAGGAACCTCTCTAGCCTTGTTCTACCCAGGCTTGCCTGGCACCACTGAGAAGGAACCAGGCAGAGAGACAGGACCCGCCGTTACCTTGATGGTGGTTGTGCTGCGCTCCTCGTACTTGCACTCGCACAGCAGGCAATAGGCCTCCACGTCGTTCCCTGGCACCGGCATTGGCTCCACCACATGCAGGCAGTTGCTGCGATAGAAAGAAGGGCTCAGTAGCAGGAAAGGGTGAAACGGGTGCTCCGTGCAAGGGGGCTGGGGTTGCCTCTTTTCTCTGTGCCTCAGTTTTCCCATCTGAAAGTTATGCTCACATCTTAGCTAGCTCATATTTCCTGGGTTAGACTGTGTCAAAGGGCCTTTTCTGAGACCTTCTATAGGGAACAAATCCAGGTGAAAGAGTCTGCAGAGTCATCCTATAATCTGCTAACAGCTCATGGCCTTAATAACAACAGCTCCCAGATTCCTGAATTTCTGTAGAAAGAAAGACCCCCTCATGTGGGTGGAGTGTCATCTATTGAAATGGCTTCCTCTGCAAAGAGCTGGCAGGCAGTGGCCCTGACTGGCCTCCCCAAAACAGGCTGCATCTCTGGAGCGT